GAGAATTTCGTGATGAACAATATAATTTGGATTTACAAAATAATGTACAAAATGTTCCAGTATTAGAAAATCACATTTCGTTGATGATGTTTTCGAGAGAGACCCCATGATAATATATTTAATCCTGCCTCTAAATAAAACAACCCAATAGCTAATACGGGGAAACAGCAATATTCAAACCAGAAATTGATAGGTTGGAAAAATGGCGCAGTAAAATCAAATATAATGGTAAGAATAAGGCATTCAACGACTCTTCGATAATACATCAAATAGGCCATTGATTGATTTACTAATGGTAAAGATGCTATTCCTACGGGTAATACATCGGGTTGAGTAGCCTTTAAATCCACCAATCTCGAACAATCATGTTGAGCAATTATTGGCTGTATTAAATTTGATTGGTTCTGATTAATTTTATTCCTAGACAAATGTGGACTATTAACCGAGTCTGTATTTTTTTTACCTACAATATCTAATGTTGAAACATCTTGTTGCATAATTTCACTATGATTTTTATCATCAATAAGTTTCTTTTTATTAAAAGGTCTAACTGGCGTCTTGCCTTTATTCTTTTTAGGATGTGATGATGAAGTTTGAAATTGAGGTATTTCGTTATACTCGGGTTCTTTTATCTTTTCAGCAATTGTAACGTCTAAATCCACTTGCGTCTTTATTTGTTCAGTGTCTATAACACATTCTCTATGAATTTTATTATCTTTGCTGTCTTCAGAACTATCAACTGTTGATATATCATCATGTTCATTTTGGATTGTTGATATAATAGGCGAAGCAATTTCTTGATCAGTATGTACAGATAAATTTGTATCAACATTTTTTGATGCCGATGCAATATCATGCGATGTGAGAACAAGAGATTCGGTTTGTTCATTGTGTTTTATAGAATCGTAAAGTGCTGATGGTGAATTTTTTACCAACATTATAGATGGCACTTCATCATGCTCAACGTTCTCAACAAAACCGGTTATTGTTTCGTCTATTGATTCTTTAACATCCACAACATCTGAATTGACCTGCTCTACGATGTTATCTAGTCTAGTTTGTTCTGTAATGTCACCGAGTTCAATTTGTTCTGCAATATCATCTGGTTTAAAGTTTTGCACACTTTGACTATCTGCGTCTCTGGATAGTGTAATGGTCGGTTCATCTTGCATATCATTTTGAATGTTATTTTGAATGTTGTCTTGAATGGTGTCTTGAATAATGTCTTGAATGTTGTCTTGAATGCTGTCTTGAATGCTGTCTTGAATGTTATGTTGAATGCTGTTTTGAATGTTATCTTGAATGCTGTCTTGAATGCTATCTTGAATATTATCTTGAACGACATTGTTTTGAACATTGTCTTGAATATTATCATCTTGAACGTCTTCTTGAACGTCTTCTTGAACGTCTTCTTGAACGTCTTCTTGAACATTGTTTTGAATATTATCATGAACGTTATCTGAGAGCATTTGAGTAGCTAATTTTGCTATTTCATCATCGTATTCAGAATTTGATGCATGGCACTGATATTGATTCTTTTGTTCAATAAACACATCTTCCAGCCTTACGATTCGCTGATGAGTGCATTCTTCACGTGGTTCAACTATCTCTTTATGTAATTCATGTTTATCAAATTGATTTTCTTGAGACTCCATTATTTCATTATTCGCATCGATTGATTCATCAATTTGTTTATCTTTCTCAATGTGATTTTCTAATACTGGAACATTTTGTACATTATTTTGTAAATCCAAATTATATTGTTCATCACGAAATTCTC